ATGTTGGATGGGGAAGAAAAGACTATGGCTTAACCCTACCAAGACTGGGTAGCTGTAGGTTTTAAGGTCCCCTGGTTCTGAGGACTTTCCTTCTTTAGTTCTTGGATGGGGTAGCATTCCCCCAGGCAGAACTGGTGTACAATTTGGGAGTCTACTTGGACTCAGCCTGCTTGAAGACCAGTGACTACTCAAATCTATTTTGTGTGCTAATTGTGCTCATTCCAGGATCAAGAGGCCCTACACTTGGTCACTCCTGGCTTGCTCACCTCCTATTTGGACTGTTGCAGTGTGCTGTACGTGCAGCTGCCCTAGAAGGTCCTCTAGAAGGGGGCCACGTTATTTGTGGTGCTCCCTGTCTCCGGTTATTTTTGCCCATTCCACTAGGTCTCCCATGGTGGACATGCTCCAGGTCCCTTTTATAAAAAGTATCATCTGGAGGAAGCCAGGAGGTGTGCTTTGTCTATCATGAACCCTGTCCTTTGGAACAATGTATCTTCCCTCCAAGGTTTGGATTTTCCCTATCCTGTTGGCCTTTGGTACAGTCTTGAAGGTCTGGCTTTTCCCCTAGGCACTGGGCCAGGGGAATTTTGGAATGTGGAATAGTTGTGGATTGGCTTCTGTTTATGTTATTTTTTTCTTCTGTGTTGTTTTTATGTTGCTGGTTTTGTTTTTAGTTTTAATTTTATGTTAGCTGCCTAAGATTTGCAATTTGCAAGTTAGACAACCATACAAATCAACTAAATAGATTTTTTTTAAAAAAAGAACCCCACAGTTTCAATTTTATGCATTTTGCAAAACCGCACTATTTTCAATGCACTAGGTTTTATGTGGCATATCATTTTGGGGAATGGGGGTTTTAAGTTTTTAAGAGATGCAGTGGGTGTCATAAACCTTTGTAAGCCTCTTAAACTTATTTTTTTAAACTGCATTTTTAAAGAAAGTGGGAGTACAAAATAATTGGCTTGATTCATTCTGGTGGAGCTTTGAGAACTACAAAAAGGATGCTGTATATTGTTCTGTCTATATCCAAAATGTAGATAGACTGAAATGTAGACTGCAGGTATGACTGTACCTACTATTTATGAATCTTATATACTGCTTTAATCATAGTCCTAAGTGTGTACAAATGCATAAATAATAATATAATAAACAATAATGCAGCAAAATAGAATGCAATAATACACTAGATGGCTCTGCAACTGACTGAGACAGCATACTGTTGATGCTATTTCCTGGAGGTTTTCCATAACACCCAGGTTTTAATTATTTTCTGGAAAAACATTATGGAACATGCCACTCTTGCCCCTGGAGGAAAGCTGTTCCAAAGGTACATTGAGGAACAAGATCTCCTCAATCAGAGGGAACGCTCAGCATATAACCTCTTTGCTTGCTTACAGTAGATGGGCAGATTCTATTTCTAACAGGTAGACTTGAAGATACCCAAGCACCAAGCCAGATAAGATTTTACTAGGTCCCAATTCTTCTTCTGTGAATATATGTGCACACAAGAAATGTCTACTACCATACATGATATTAGATAGGGAGGTTCAAATATAATTTTTAGGGTATATGGTTTAAGGTCGCTTAAAAACCAACCAAATTAAAGGTTACTAATGCAGTTAGTTTTTGTTCCCATACAAGTAGCCAACAACTGGGGGAAAAAAACAAACCCTACCTTTAAGAGAATTGGTCATAATATAATGTAACTTAATTTGTGATAGCATTAGAAAGTTAGAGACCATTATTTGTTGAAAAAAGCAGGACAATGCTGTATATTTATCCAACATTGGGGGTAAAAGACTAATTAGAAGGATGCTTAAAAAAATTCATTAGAAGCTGAATAATTAAAATGGATTTGCAACTGTGTTCGTCAGTGTATATGATGGCAACAGTTGCAGTAAAAATCTGATGTTAATTAATCTGTGATTTATAATATAAACCAGCGCTCCTCAGCTAAATGCCCTGCAGATGTGTTGACTTTTAATCCTCATAATCCCCCATACAAAACCAAGAAAAACACTCCAGCTGACTGCTCACATCTTTGTACTATTCAAAATGCCCCCAGTCAGCGAATATATTTAAAAACAGAAGCAAGGAAAACTAGGAAGTAATTTCTGTTTGTATAATTAATAAACATACAAACACAGCTGAATTAATAAAAAGTCTCATTAAAAAGTAATACCACTGCCTGTTTTTTCATTATTGTAACTAATGGCGCCCACAGGAATAATAGGAAATACATGTGTAAATTTTAATGAGATAGAAAAACGGCCAGTACCCAGATAAAATCTAACTTTCCAGGATACAACACCATTGTTTAAAAGCATGTAAGTTACCTTGCCAACTCCATTATTGAATAATGGAGTCTATTTGAATATGCTCAATTAAGCTTGGATAAACAGCAATCCTTAGCAAGGTAAACAATTATTATACTTAATATATGTTTTGATGAGAAAAGAGGAAATGGTCAACAAAGAAACACATTACTCCCTTAAACTTGCAACTGGTTTTAAACTTTTCACCATTTTCCTTCCCCCCCCCCATTAAGATGCTAACATGTCATAGTTGTTTTCATGCTACGGTCGAAGCAGTCAGTAACATCCCAGTATCATTCCGGTATTTGTAGACACATCCTCTGAATATGAGAATGGGGCCAATTTTGCAATAAATCCTATTTATCTATCCTCAACCTCATGCTTACCTGATATCTGAGACTACAATGTGCATTACTCTGACGACAGACTGTGCTGATCTGGCAGATGCCGGAGGGCATCCAATTGACTAACACCATTTTAATGGCAACACTCCAAACATTTTTAAGTCTCAAGTTTTCTTTCAGAGGCAACACAATCCCTTTCAACTAGCACTTGCTAAAATTCAGGCATTGGTGAATTATCTAAGAAAGCTGTTTTTCTGGGTCAGTTCTAAGGGCTACCTTGTTCAGTGAACTGAACTGCCTTATGAATATCTGAAAACACTGAACATCAAAAGACATACGTATGCGAAAGTAGAAATATTTAAACTCCAGTATTTACTGTAAACTATTGTAGTAGATAATCAAGGACATGTTAGAATATGCCTATCCCACTCTTCAACTGTAATTATCTCATTCATTATTAACTATATCTCACAGAAATATTCCTTCTCAAGGGAAATACATTTCTAGAAATTAATTGTAAGTGATGCATTTGAGAAAGTCTCTTTTCTATAACTGGTGGACATTTTTGCAAAAGAATATTTTCCATGCTATTGTATCACTTAAAAGAGTGTGGCCATTCAAGATGACAACTCTATTTCAAAGAGTATGAGAGAAATCCAATGTTGCCATTTTGGCTTAGAGAACTATATCGTCATATCCTTTTTCCTGCAGTCTCCTGTGTCCTCCCCAAATTTGTTCCAGAGGATTGCAGTGAGGAAATTTGTTCCATCAGCATAGGCTTCTCCTCTGGTAGAGGGGCAAGAAGAAAATTACACATTTCTTTATTCTTTTCCATTAAATCAATCTGGATGTGCTACTGGCAAAATGAGAAGTGCCTCAGCAGTTGAAAGAAACTTGAAAAAAAATAAATTTCCAACTTTCCACTAAGCATAGGGCTATAACACACAGAACAATAATTACGTCCCAGCAGCTATAGTTTTCTGTACCAACACAATCTATTAAATTGCCTTATAAAAGTCTATTAGTCTGTCTAACTCAGTATTGTCTACACTTGTTAGCAGCATATTCAAGTTATACTGTAAGA